TTTTACAGCTTTTATAAACCTAATTTGAACAGAACTGCCGTTTCCACTTCGTCTCATCATCTCGGTCGTCTAACAGGTTTCGAATAACCAACAAACGCATTACTCTCCATGCCTCAATGGGCATTCCTGATCACGTAACTTTCCAGAATTTACTTGTCTTCTCAATCCATTATTGTTCAACCGTGATGTCTCCTTATGGAAAAAAAATGACCAGCCATTGTGGAGAATAGCGCACAATAGAGGCTTGTTTATCTGGGCTTATTTTTGTGCTATTGGCTGTTTATTTTTCGAGATTATATATATATATATATCTATATATTCAACCTATTTCGTTATGGTGTTGAAGGACAGGATACGAATTTCCTTTGGAAAGCAAGGCTATGTAAAATGCAATGGAAATTCAAGGCCTATTCATACGATTGTGAAAAAATTTAACTACCGGTTCTTCATCAATTTAAGGAAATGGGGGGAACACATATATTAACTATTTAACTGAAATCTGAGACAATCTGCGAAATATAACATTTGCCTCCAACATAAGCCTGAGTGTATTAACCCTAACACCATTCCGTATGCATTTTTAGATATTTTCCCATTATTAAGATGGTTTTTCAGTAGCATTTCTCTCTTCAACTTTAATGAACTTTTCAACACTTAATCGATTTAATAATTATCGTGACTGTCCCTCTGCCGTGCTTGTATCATCCATTTGTGTGCACATATTTATGAAAGAGATGAGATTTATTTGTCTAGATTATGGATATTGCCAATTTAATGGCTTTTCAACTTTACTTGTTCTGCAGGATGACAATTGAAAGGTTTACTTCTATTGCTTGGCTCAAGACCTTTCGTACTGAAGGGTCTGATACCTTGTTCACTTGTTCCATTCCGTTCACGAGGCTTCAATTGCTGAACATTTATGCGACCTGGATTAGTTGTCAGATTATTTGAGGCCACGGGAATATGGTCTTTTGAACCCATTAGAACTTAATCAGCCCAGGTCTCTCAAGGTTATTTATCCACTGTCAGTTGAATTTCTCCTACATTCAGATGTGTAGTCTTCAGGGTTCCTTTATATTTAACTTTGCCTTGCCCCCCACAAGGCTATCTCATCCTCATCAATCCTCATCGGCACCCCTCAGTGTGATTTAATACCTGTTCGCGGGTACCTTGGCCACACTACAAATCCTATACACAGCCACCAGTGCCATTATGTCATTTGGTGGATCTGATATTGAGGACAAACCACGCCTCACTTAAATCATATTTATTGTGAAATTAGCAAATAAATATACATGTATTTTCCGTTGAAATCGACGACGCTACTTATTTTTGGCATAAGTAGTCTTCGAGATTGTTGGTTGTTATTAAAGAACAACTGACCGTATTGCCAGATTGCGCTAGTCAACTGGGCCAGAGGTCAGTCAGGAAGACTCAACAGGATTAGAATGGTCTCATTTCTGGCCAGCTTGTTTCCATGCTCTCTCACTTTCATGTAACAGGTTATTTGGCCTCTACAGAGACGCAGCGACCTCCTAGTCGTTTCGCTACCACCGGCGGGACTCGAGGCCGGCTGTATGAGATCTGCAGCGCTCTAATTAGCTATACTCCTCTGTAGATCATCGCAGGTACCTTTTCATACACATCCTCGTTACCCTTGCTATATATATATATATATATATATATTTATTTATTTATACTCAAAATTTGGGATAGTTTCTATGATTTTAGTACTGCGTGAAGGCAGATGATATGCTTTGAATGAAGAGTGACTAAGTTTCTATGAATCCTTTTAGCACGTTTTATAGAGACGAATGGTCTTCTTGGTTTTGTCTTGAGTTGATTGAAGTTGGAGTACCTTTTATTTCATTTGAAGAGGTGAGTGAAAGAGATGGCAGCGAATTCGCACAAATCTACGATCACAGCTCCAATTTACGAACCCTTACTACTCGTATTTTTAAACTAAATCTAAAGTTACCACAAAAAGAATCTATTAAAGGATTCGTCGAAACCCAATTTTTCTACATATTATATTGAATTTTGCCTAACCTTGCCTTTCAACCTCCTTATAGCATTGTGTGAAAATTCCACAATCTGTACACTAGGGTGACTGGAACTGCTAGTTAGGATCTAATGATGATCTCAAATCCTACTTACTATGAATAAAAGATCCTTTAGTCCGTGAAATTTCTCTCCAAATTGAACGGCAATTTCAGCTTTCTCGAGTCTAATGCTCACTCCCAGCAAGGCTTGAGCTTACGGCTAGCTAATTAAAAGGCAAAAATGCTACCTCTTTCACATTGCACCATGATTTATAAGTCACCAACCAACCTTCCAATCACCCTGTCAGGAAGCCAACGCACCTCAAACGATGGTTCCGTTTGCGCCAGACCCTTCACCGGCAGCACGCAGAGTTCGCTCGCCTCCAACGGGCCCGACCAGACCCGTGGGTCGCTTGCTTCGGTGTCCGGTGACCGAGGCGATTTCGCGCAGTTTGGCGTCGGCTTACGCAGGTCGACCGAACAGAGCGGCCTACCTCGAGGGCAGCAGAACCAACCGCAGCCGGAGCCAGGGTCGTCAAGGCGACAGTCTCTGGCCCCCTTGGACACGGCATCTGAGGCGTCAGGATCCCAGTCGGGTAGACGCGGTCGTCGTCCAGGCGAAATTTGCCTTGATGACGAACAGGCGACCTTGGCAGCTGCTCGAGCCTGCGATGAGATGATTATGGCAGCGGCGATGGGCATTCGTTCGCCGATCCAAATAGGGCCTGGACGGGCAGGCTATTTCGATGAAGAGGATGAAGAACAAGCGGAGCTGGACAAAGAGGAATTGGAACAGCGTGAACGGGGTAAGCATGATTTGGGCTATATTGAAACTCAAATGATCATTTTATGTTCCCCAGGTTTTTTGGGGTAAAATATGCTTTTTTACACTTTTAAGGTTTATTTGACATTGTTCTCCTTACTTAGTCGTGTTTTCCGACACCTCCAAGAACTTACCCCCTGCGCAATTGTCGCCATGTCGTCGGACCACTGTCTGGATACACTCCTACGTTTAGCCCGTATCCTAGTCTGTATGGTCACTGAGTTACAACTGATCAAAATTACTCTTAAATTCACCTCCTCACCAATTTCCTGTTATATGATTGCCTCACCTCTTCCCCCTTCTTTTCTGGTATCTGCCTTAGCCCATAGTCCTACATCCCCATTCTATCTTAACCTTTGCGTGCCCTCGTCTGTACCACTGCAAACCACTTGCATAACTAAAAAAATGGATACGAACTGGGACATATATCAGGTCAGAGGCCATAACCATTCTACAGTAAATAGATCACTTTGACGAGTTGCAGCTAAGCGCTAGAAATGCCTATGCTCACTGTTTATTAACAGTCCGATGCTGGAAGGTAACATGGCAACAACAGCAATAAGCAGTGTTGGATACTTTTTTTGAGATCTTTCTGAAGATGCGACCAAGTTACTGAAGCTATACCACAAAGGAAGACCTGGTTAAAGGCAAAATCCTCACAACCTTGTTTTTCTATTTTCACAGATTTTTTTTTCTCTACTTCTCTTAGCCTTTGTGTATATCACCTTAGAGACCCTCACACCACTTTCGAAACATTTTAAAATTAGGCTCTTTGCATAAGCATATCTCAGATTACACATCTTTAAGGATTTTAATAATGTTTTCCTGTTCCCACAGTTACTCATTAAGTTCTTAGACTCTAAAATCATCTTTCTATGCTAAATCGAACTCTACAACTACTGGTTATCTTTGTAATTCACGTTGCAATGGCGAATCTCAATTCCACTCCCCTAGCAACTCAGTGCTGTAGCCGCTTCTTTCTTTCAATTAAGGCTGTTGCCTTTGGAAAATTAATTTTTATTGAGTAAGTAGGCTTTCGAGACTACCAGTAGATCAGATATATCAGTTGTGAGGTGATAAAGGACTGGTCGTTGGATATTTCCCAAACAGAAGGTGATATAAAAAATGTCTGATATCCCTTAAAATTCACATCTGCCCTGTGGCCCAAAGGCACTCGTTGCAATCTCATGGTTCGACTCCCGCTTGGGGTGTTGATAAGGCCTAGGCGAGATCTAATTTATGTAAAATTCAGTGAAAAACATCTCTACTCATATCATTGTGGGAAGATTCTACTACCAGTTCTTCAGCACCTTTGGGAAAGCTAACCAAATGTACACTAATTTGCTCAATATGCATTGGCCAGGGTTTAACTCCAAGGCTTCATGACTGCTCTTCTTCCCTTTACTCTCCAGCCTTGGCAGCAGTCAGTCCTATCCACTCTCATAATTGAATGCTCTTGTTGATGTACAGCTGCCATGAATGCAACTACTATCAATTCCCCACTTTTCCTCACAATTATTCTCTGCTATACTGTCCTTCGTCTATCAGCTCGACCCTTTTTAGGAGCGTCACTTGATAAACCGTATTTTGTTCGCCTGCATTCGTGGTGACCTTCCTTTGGCTAAATCTGCCCTACTTTCCCTTTCTCAATTCTACACACATACACACACACATACATACACACACATATGCACATTCGCTCCACTTGCTTCGCACATCCTTCTTTGGAACCATTCGCGGATCCCAGAAGAAGAACTGGCGGAGTTCGAGTTATATGCCGGGGCCTTGGACAGCTGTGATGAAGTGGATTTCGAGCGACATTCGGGCTACCTGGGCCCCCTGGAGGAGGAGGGTGAGGATGCTCTTCAGCAGCAGCAACATTACCAGCAGGAGCACTATCTGCAGCAGCTGAAGGACACCCTTCGCAGGCACCGGGGCTCAGGATTCTCTAGAGAGGAGGAAGATCAGTGGAAGTGAGCATTGTCAGAGTTGAGTCACAGACTGGCCTTAGATGGGAGTCCTTGTGAGCCACGAAGTTTTATAGAATCCACATGTTGTAATTCGCTCCTTAATGTATGCTTATAGATTATCATTTCCTTGGCGTCATTCTATAGACGTAGGTTGTAAGGGGCCTGCACCATTGCTCCCAGCTTATGCGCGCGACTTAGTCTTGAGTCTCGCTGGGTGTACGGATGAAAAACTATGAGGCGAGGAAAACTTTTGTCAGGTAAGACTCCGTAAAATGTATTGTCTTCATTAGGCCTACTTATTTGGCTGTTGGAGATGCTTACTATCACTCCTTACGACATTTACTTCAATCTACCTTTTCAAGAACTACAAACAGTTATAAGTACTACTAACTAAATAGAGAGTAGTGATTTTGAGTTGAGAGTGGCTGTCTGAAATAAATTGTTTATCGTAATCGGACTGTGACCACATCCACTTCCTTTTCATGTACCCGCATTAAGATGGCAAAGTTTGGCATAAAAATAAACTGGGATTTCGGCTAGTCTTCTGTTTCTTGATGCGTTTTCCGTAAATAATAGTTTCTCCACCTCGCAACGTCTGCTAGAGTGGGAACAAACGAAAGCTCCCCACGGATTTATCAGAGGCAGGACTATGAACTGAGGACTGCTTCGTGCAATCTAAACCAATCCTCTTTAGTTTTTCGGTGA